TTAATTCTTCAATGATTAAGTCATTTTTGGTCTCAATTTACTCATATTTCCTATTGATTTCTTGCCACGATAGCTATTGATCGGAAATTAGAATGTATTGACATTACATATTTGACTCAAACTTAGTTTGGAATTCTCGTCAGATCATAGGAAATCACAATATATTATGATAAATAATTTATCTAAATTCTCATAACAATAGAAAAATTGTACTTTCTGAATATAAAAAACATATTATGTATATAGCTAAAAATATAACAGAAACAGATTAAAAAGATGAAGAGTTAGATAGTATATGCCGAATCAAAACGAAATTTAACATATATTAAAAATGAAGCATTAGTGGCTTATGTGTCATTATCTCAGAATTTTAAATTTTTTAAATCTGAAAATGGTTAAAGACTCAAACACTTTATTCTTGCAACTAAATACAATTTTTCTTGCAACCAAACGAAAACTTCAATAATTATTTATTTTTTAATTGTATTTAATGTTTTAAAAATCTACAATTAATATTTAAGTTTTTGTATATAATTTAAACATTTTGATTTAAATAAATATGACAGAAAATTTAAGTGAATTTTTGTTTTTAAAAAAATATCTACTATATATTAAACAGGAAACATTATAGGCTAATGTGTCAGTATTTTAATTATATATATTTTAACTGATGCGTTTTACACCATAATTATTTTTAATATTTTCTATTTAATTAATTAATTACATTCTTAACATTTCTCGATTTAATTGATTTAAATTGGGTGTAACAGTAACCAAAATTTCAAAATCGATGTACATATAAAACACAAATCAATCCAACTAGATTATAAACCGAATTAAACGATAACTAATTATATAGCAAATTTTACTTATCTAAATGTAGTATTCGAATATATTATTATGCGGTTACAATAACTAATAAAATTTCGAATATTAAACAAAAAGAAAGTAAGATTTTTTAACCGGTAACCAATCATTTTTAAAATATTGTGTTAATATATCTTCACAAAATACAGAATGTACAAATATATTCTAGAATGCAAATATTTGCTAAATATTTGATTCTGCATGTATCTACCTTAAAACATACACTATTATTAAAATGTCATCTTTATTGAGAAAGATAGCATTATATTTCGTTAATATAGAAGTAAGAATAACTATATATCCAAAATGGATTTCTTTGCAGATCTTTCGGAATGATAATTGTATAAATGGAGGTGTAGTGGTAATTAAAAGTTTATTGGGTTGGGTTTAGAGAAAACAACACATTAGGCATCGTCATTTTTTTGAATGTTAATATTTTTTTCATATATCGGCCACACAAATCTTTTGTATGGAAATATATAAATCTCAGTAAGTTTCTTTGGGATCTAAATGTTTGTCAAACATTACATATCTTCATTTTTCAATTTATTTGCTACATCTATTTGTTTTTTGCATGTTAATCTATTCTTTATATATCAGCCACATGCATAAAACGTTTGATGCATCTCAATCTTTTCTCATTTCAATGGATTATTTGTTTTGTTTTGTTCGATGAACAGAAGTATTATGTTTCCTTATATGTGCTTCTTTTTGTTAAAGATTATATGTGGTTTGACAAGGAAATCACTTAATGAAATCACGGCAAATAAAACTTTGTGGAGTCATCGCTTGGTTTCTAGCTTTGTATTTTTGTTTACGAAAATTATTGTTTTCAGTCGTATTGTTTTATCTTTGGTACTATTTTACTTTGTTAGTGTCCTCTTTAGAAGAGGGTGGAATTAACTAAAAAAAAAGTTTGATCTTCACGGAAAGTCATGTTAAAGACAAACAGGCAACAGTTTTGAAGCCAACCGACTGGCAACTAGAGCAAATCATTTGAGGAAGATATGAAACTTTCACAAGACGCCTCCAAAGGCTACGACTAAGTCTTCATGAAGCTTCTAAGGTTTGTGCAAGAAAAAATCCATGTTGAAATCATTTGACAGGCCCTTCGATATTTTGTATCTTTATTTCTATAATTTTTTGAATTTGATATTTTTCTTTTTATTTTCTAATTTTTCTTAGTTTTATTCAGTTCTGTTTTTGTTATGTATATCAACTTGATTTGTATGTTTCATTGTTGATGTTCTTTTATAGTATCAGTGTAGACAAACTGGTTTACTTTATTTAATAATTATATATACATTTTGTAACATATTTTGATACATGTTCGTCTCTTTAATTGCTTTGGTGGATTAAGGTTATTCGATTAATGTGTTTATATGTTGTTACTTTTATAATAGATTATCTTCCAATAATAATATATATGAGATATTGAGATCGGCCACAAAGTTGATTAAAGACATGGAACATATATCAAAATTTCATTTATTTGATAATAGTTTAAGATATAGTTAAGATCGGTTATTTCATTTATTTGATAAAAGTTTAAGATATATTTGTTTTGATTTTATTTTTAATTTTAATTTATTTTAGGTACTTAAAACAATTTATTTAAGTGGTTTTAATTTTTTGCGTAAACCAAACAGAAAAAAGTGAAATTAACATGAATAAACTAAATTAAAAAAAATACTTAAAATTACAAGTTAAAATTTATGTTTGATCGTCATAAATCCATACAATAATGTATGATTATTTATGAGTGCATAATTTCAAGATACAATATTTTTTTTCATTTTTTTGTTTTTTTCAAATATCATCGTTACAAATATTAATTATATAAAAATTATATATTATTTATTGAACAAAATTTTACAAAATTTAAGCCTGCTTATTTTCCAAATCAGGAGGAAAAGTAGGATTAATGTATTGAAAAGCATTATCTAAATTTGAGACTGGTAAAGATTAAAATTTTAGGACCATAATTTCTGGTACTTTGCTAAATTTAAGAAATTTTTGCAAATTTTAATTTTTTCTTAATAATTTTTAATTGTCAAATTTCCTAACAAAAGTTTGGATATTCCGTACACAATCATTTTTTAATCTGTTGAACTGAAATAATCATTCACAAATATATAATTATTTTTAAAAAATACATGTATGAAGCAAAATCCTTACTAAAATCCCCACTTAAACACAAAATATGATCAATAATATATATTTAATATCCAACATTATTAAAAAATATATAAATTTATTCAATTTATAAATTAACCAGAATAGATATAAATTTAGTCGTTTTATAAATTAACCAGAATAGATATATAGTACACTTTTATATTACTATTATATATAAATTACAAAATTAAAAATTATCCCGTAGTAATCTAGTATATCTTTAAAAGCGTCACAAATTGTACATAGCAAAAATATAACACATTATTATTAACTTTCGATCTGTTGCCCTAGACATTGAACTTACAGGAAGCAGGTCTCCAAACGTTCTCTTTGAACCTTTAGGCTGAGCTAAATAGAATCTTGATGTTGCGCCACTAAATCATACTAAATTTATTTTCTGTGTAGTTATCTATCCGGTCAGAAGGAAAAAATATTCAAAACATATTGTATATATATAACATCTTCGAAACTTTACTATCGTGATAAATATTGTCTGATTCTACATCCTTCAACTACTACATCAAAACTATTTTTGTTGACGACCAATTAGAGCTGAAATTTCATGACTCGTTTTAAACTCAAGAATTGTTGGTTCCTAGGTCAGAATCTTGAAAGATATGTGCTTTACATTACAATCTAAGTCTCAAAGAAGGAGAAACTGGTCTCATTTTCCAACATAATTTTAGACGAGAACAGAGGTTCAAATACAGGATAACCAAGCAAACAACAAAGCAGAACACAACGAAATGATTGTAGAAATATTACTGTGTCATTGAGAGAGATTAAAAATTACCCAGGAAAATTTTGACCAATCTCTTGCTGCATATCTGTCTGAGGATAAAACGGAGCAGACATACCACTCTAGTTTTTTATTTCGTCAAATGTTTGATTATTTAATCAAGTTATTATACATGCAACAACCAAATCAAATTTAAATATTGTTAAGGAAACATTTTCTTGCCATGTCATAAACTACATGTATTAGTAAATATCATGTCACAGTTATATCATTATTACACATCATCATTTTCATATCACATTTAATTAGGATAAATAGAAGATTTTAACCAATCAAATTAAAATAAATCATATATTTTCATTAAATTACATTCTCAATTAATATGTAGAGGATGAATATATTACAAAACCCCCAAAGAATAATTGGTGGGATCACATCTACTCTCTGCATTGCTCAAAGTCAATATTATTAGTGGGATTGAAGGTTATGATATAAATATAGATAGTGCAAAAATCGAAGTTATTATACCATTTTTTAAATCATTTCTATCATAAGAGCGATAAGGTGGTTGGTACGGATGAATGTACAAGACAACCATCTATCCGCTCTTAGAATAAGTAATAATGGTAAAAAATTATTTTTGTTTAATTAGAAATATATACTTAAAACATATATATATTGACATTATTATATTATGTAAGAGGAAAAGAAAGCATAGTATAGATAATATTCAAAAAATATTATAAAAAATAATTTTTATTTAATATAATTTTTATATTTAGAAGTATATGTTATTGTAATTGCAATAAAAAAAGATTTTAAATAAATCAATTTCAAAATACACAAAATAATATGAAACGTTTGTGTGATTATTTATACACTAAAACTATATATATATATATATATAACATTGACAGAATATATTTAAAAATTAATTAATACTTAAATATTACAAGTAATTATGCTTATAAAAAAATTACATCTCTATATAATTACTGGCAACCACCTAATAAGTTAGTAAACATATAAGTTAATAAACATATAATTGGATAGAAAATCCAATTTTTATCGCCAAATATTTTGTCAAAATGAGTTATTAGCCAATCCCAACTCATTACAACTAAGCCACAACTCATCACATCCATATAAATCCTTTTAACCCCCAACCTCACTTTCCCAAAAAAATATCTACACATAAACCCAAACTTCAAACGCAATGCCCACCATTCATCTAACTCTAGCTCCTCTTCTCCTCCTCGCCGCGGTCTTCCTCTCCACGGATGTAACCGCTCAGTCCGCAGCTCCAGCTCTTAGCCAGGCTGGTCCCATCAATGTCACGGCCATCCTCGAAAAAGGCGGTCAATTTGTTACTTTTATGCGTCTTTTAAACATAACGCAAGCCGGAAACCAAATCAACATCCAAGTCAACAGTTCATCTGAAGGCATGACCGTGCTCGCACCAACAGACAACGCCTTTGAAAACCTTAAACCCGGAACACTGAACAAGTTAAGCCCCGACGACCAAGTCAAGCTCGTTCTTTACCATGTTAGTCCCAAATTCTACTCATTGGACGATCTTCTCTCCGTAAGTAACCCGGTCAGGACTCAAGCTTCAGGGCGAGATGGTGCGGTTTACGGGCTTAACTTCACCGGTCAAGGGAACCAAGTCAACGTATCAACCGGTGTCGTTGAGGCACGTGTCAATAATGCATTAAGACAAGAACTTCCTCTTGCGGTTTACGTGGTGGACATGGTTTTGTTGCCGGAAGAGATGTTTGGAGAAGACAAGATCTCACCGCCACAGGTGGCTCCTGGTCCGGAACCAAAATCTCCTGGTCCTTCAGATGACTCAGGTGACTCAGACGACTCCTCTACGAAAGCTGCGGCTCCGTCGGAAAATTCTGGCTCCAGTGAGATGAAGGCTGGCTTAGGGTTCGGTATTGGACTTGTTCTGTTATGTTTGAAATTCATCGTTTGATCATATATTTATTTTATTGTATGGGAGGTTGTAATAAAAAAACTTATTTATTCAATGCATTAAATTGAAAATTATTATTAATTTAAAGTGTGCTTATGTGATTAAATTAGAAATTGAGCTGTAAATTTGGTCTAACAAATCGGAAGTCGTGTGAATGAATGATGACTTGCGTGTTAATCAAGCCAAACATGTATCGATGGGCTTAATAGGCCCAATAAACTTTGAGAAAATGTCACCGCCTCCTGGGCCCAATATAAATATACACAAACACACACACCCTTTTGCTGTATCGTTTGTTAAACCCCTTACCTACGCTTCAATCTCTGATCGTTTCCCTTAAACCCTGACTTCGCCGGCGAATCAAGACTCGAACTTAGGTGCGTTTTTCTCCTCTCCGTCTCTTTCGCCGATCAAGATCCGTTTCTTTACTTTCTTTGCCAATCGAAATCACACTCTTCAATTTTCCGATCAAGATCCGTTTCTTTACTTTCTTTGCCAATCAAAATCACACTCTTCAATTTTTATGATCCTTGCGTCCTAAATCGAGGTGACGCGATTAGATAGGATCTTTATATTAGGGTTTAACGCGAATCCAGTTGCTTAGAAGGATCATGTGTTGATATTTCTTGGAGACATTAGTTGCTTCAGATTCATATCTATGAATTTTAATTCTGACTTTTACGAATTTTGTTTCCCATATCTTTTACGATCAATGTGTTTTGTGGTTTTTAGGAAAATGAATGCTACAAAAGTCCCAAAGATTCCTGGATCACCTCTGCTCTCTGCATTGCTCAAAGTCAGTGTTATTGGTGGAATTGGAGCTTATGGTATCGCTAATAGCATCTACAATGTCGAAGGAGGACAACGCGCCATCGTGTTTAACCGGATAACCGGAATCAAAGAGAAGGTTTTGTAATTGTACTCTTCAATGGAAGTTCTCTCACCATCAAACAAAAGTTGCTAAATTGGTTTCTGTTTTTTTTTTTTTTTTTCCCAGGTTTATCCAGAAGGTACACATTTCATGATACCTTGGTTTGAAAGACCAATCATCTACGATGTTCGTGCATTGCCTTTCGAAGTGACTAGCGACACAGGAAGTCATGACCTTCAAAAGGTTTTTTTTTTTTTTTGCAATATTCTTCTCTGTGCTTCTCTGTGTCTGTCTGTGTGTGAAGTAGCTAGTAAAGAAAACCATTGTTCTGTTGTTGTACAGGTGACAATTGGGCTTAGGGTTCTTCATCGTCCAATGGGAGATCGCTTGCCGCTTATCTACAGGCAACTCGGTGAGGATTACAAGGAAAGAGTTTTCCCTTCCGTCGTCAATGAGACTCTCAAAGCAGTTGTGGCTCAGTACAATGCGAGCCAGCTCATTACACAGAGAGAAGTTAGTGTTTTTCTGATGTTCCTGCTCTGATGTTCTAGTCGCGACATGTGGTTTTAAAGTTTTAACCCTGTTTACAGGCTGTGAGCAGGGAGATACGCAAGATTCTGACAGAGAGAGCAGCTAATTTCAACATTGCTCTTGATGATGTCTCAATCACAAACCTCACGTTTGGCAGAGAGTTCAGAGAAGCCATCGAGGCGAAACAAGTCGCGGCTCAGGACGCAGAACGTGCTAAGTTTGTTGTCGAGAAGGCCGAGCAAGACAAGAAGAGTGCTGTGATCCGAGCTCAGGTGAAGTATATCGATATGTTTTAGTGGAAGTTTGTGTGTGTATCTTTCTTGTGATATATGTTTGTTTAAATGCCAAATTTTTTTCCTTGGTAATTGATAGGGAGAAGCAAAGAGTGCTCAACTCATAGGTGAAGCTATTGCAAACAATGAAGCTTTCATCACTCTGAGGAAAATTGAAGCTGCAAGAGAGATTGCTCAGACTGTAGCTAAATCAGCTAACAAGGTTTACCTCAGCTCCAATGATCTTTTGCTTAATCTCCAAGCAATGAACTTGGAGCCTAACACTAACAAGTAGAGAGCAGAAAACACAAGTCACTTTGTCTGACCAGATTTGTTGTTCATCAATACTTTTGAGGATTTGTTTTATTTTTTGTCTTTGATGTTGGATTGATTCAGACTTTAAAAAGTATCAAAGAAGATTTGAAAAGCCATTATCATTGAGTAAATATTCTCATTGACCTATTGCAAAATACATACAACAAATCAAATAGTGTCTAACCAAGAATCAAACTCATCTAAAACTTTGGATTTGCCAACGGAGGAAGAAGACGACGAAGAGGCCTGGTTCTGCTGTGGTTTGGTCGATACTGAAGTACTTTCGAGCAAATCATCAAGCATGTCATCAAAACCTGTCGTCTGAATCTTTTGACCAGATGGGTTCGCTGGTTTGTTGAATGGCTCTGCGCCACTATTAGAGTTGAGAAGCGAATCCAAATCAGCTTCAAAAGCTGAAGGATTCTGATTAGAGGCACTGGCCAGTGCGTAGGAATCGAGGAGCAAATCTAGATCGTCTTCAATTGCTGAAGGTTTCTCTGTCTGGTCCGTGAATATTGGTATGTCCTTGACTTGATCCAGAGACTCAGCCTCCACGTCTTTATCTGGGCTCACTTTTGATTGAGATGCACACTGCACAATCCACAATATACGAATATGTCAAACACAGAGCCTTATAATGTATATGGCTTAATGGTTTAAATCCAGTAAAACGTACAATCTCAGGCGGCAAAAGATCAGCTTCAATGTAGAGTCTCTCATGCAAATCCACTTTCTCTAACATTTTCTCCAGTGCATTCAAATTCAAGGAGAGGAATCCAGGCTACATGTAATCAAACCGTGAGACGATTAAGCAAGTGTGCTGAAACTTCAATCTCAGCTTTGAGAAATCAATTACCTCGTGATAGGAAGCTGACCCCTCTTCTTCAACGATGAAGTTGTCATCTTCCATCCATGAAAGCATACTTTCCCCTCTAGCAGAGATCATAGATCCAACCACACGACTAAACTCATCTGCAACATTTTCACAAAATTTTTGAATCCAATATAAGTAAACTATAAGCGATACATTAATTGAGTCTAGTTCAGATTTTCATACCGTGCAAAAGATCATCTAACGATGATAGACCATCTGAATCAATCTCAATCTTTGATTGAGACTCGGCTTGAGCTTCAGATAACAAATGAAGATAATCTGCTCCTTTGCTTTTCGGCAAAATCGCATCCTCCGGTTGGTTTCTCGAAGCATTTTCCAAACCGGGATCGAGTTGTTCATCGTACCGATCCCAATTCGACGGGAGTGCAGATACACGGCGAGACTGAACCGGACTCTTTGTTTTCAGAGCAGCCGCGGTTTGGTTTCCTCCTCCTTGGAGCTTCTCGTGATTTTTGGAATTCTCTGCAGCTTTCTGCTTATGAACCGCATGAGATTTCTTGTTGTGATGTTGAGTGTGAGCTCTCTTCGATTTCGCCAGAGATTTTGTGTCCATTGCAGAAGAATCTCTATCAACACAAATCAAATCATTCTGAGAGATTTTGCAAAATTAAGCGACAGAAGCGAATATTGAAGTTTCTACGCAACGATTCGATTTGGTAAACATCAGTTTTTAAGACGGTAGATTTCGATTCCCGATGGACAAATCTAAGAAAAGTGATTACAATGGAACAATAGCAATTAGGTTTTATTAAACAGTTTCTTTAATACTCATAGCTTTGAGATCGGAAAAACTTACCTTTAGAAACGAAATTCGCACTAAGGAAGATCGAAGAAGCTTGCTCGGAAGGAATCTGAGAAAGAGTTAGAACACGGCGTTGAGCGAAGAAGAAGAAGAACAATTTTGGCGTTAATCGAGTCGAAATTAAAATAAAAAATAAAAAAAAAATAAAGGAATACGATACGACACCGTAATACTACTGTTTACATTGGGCCATAAAGCCCATTCGATACGCCTCATTATCCTCGTTAGTATCTTAATTATTACTGATCACCAAAGAATAGGACAATGCACTGTGTTTAATTAATGAGAAAATTACATTTTAAAGTATTTAGAAGAGAAGATTACATTTTAAAGTATTTAGAAGAGAAGAGGCATTTTCATTATGCAAAATGACCATTTTATCATTTTCATACAAGATCAAATGTCCAGAACTGCTAGACCACGTGGATGAACCTTTGTGGATAACCATAACACTTCGTCATCAATCTTCGTGGATGAAATTTTGTGGATAACTTCAAACGTTGACTGGACTGGTTTGAGATTGATGAAGCTCATGTTCACGTGGATGACCCTTTATGGACAACTAAACATGTATTGTTTAAATTTGTCTATCCATTTTGCATGTCTTTCGTTGACAAACCTTTTGTGAACAGTTAAATACAATTTTTGTATATCTATTTTGCACATCTTTTACGGATGAACTCTGTGAAACTTGTATACTATAACAAATGGCTAAAATATTCCGACCTCGTGGATGAACATATGTGGACGACTTCATACGTTCATTGGACTAGTTTGAGATTGATGTAGCTCATGCTCACGTAGATGACCTTTCATGGACAGCCAAATATGTATTATTTTAATTTATCTATCAATTTTGTATGCCTTTTGTGGATGAACCTTTATATGCAGCTAAATGTGATTTTGTATATCTATTTTACATATTTTTGTGTATGAACTCTGTGAAACTTGTAAATTATAACAAATGGCTAAAATATTCCGATCACGTAGATGAACATATGTGGATAACTATAAGGAAAGATAAATGGCAAAATCGAATTAACATATTATCAACAGTAGACAAAGTGCCTCTTCTCCACAAAGTGTCTTTTTGTAATCAAAATTCACAAAATGCTTTTTTATATAAATTTCTCTTAATTAATATCACAAATGCACTCTGATATTTCAGATCCTCGTTAAGTATCTTAATAATCACTAAACATCAGAGTGCGTTATTATAATAAAATTCATAAATTACATTTGATGACGCAAGCTTTCAAAGCCAAAATAATTTTTAGCCTGATATGTATATATATAGCCTTATTGTTAGAAACACTTACAAGTAGCTATCACTAACAATTTTATACTTTGTAGATTAATTATGCTTTTACGAGCCATAAATTATGGATCAAGGTGGATGCCAGAAAGGAAAAAACTATGGATCAATCATAGTGGGGCAATGTTTGACAACCGTTTTGATAAGGTCATACCCTATATTTTATAACTTGTCTTTTCTATGTTTTTATTCCATATGGACAAATGTATATGTATAACGTCAATACGTTTTATCTTGTCATCACACAGTGATCGAATCTAACAGTAAGAATTTTTTTTTTGTTAACATCGACACAATAAGAGAATTACACAAGAAGCTAAATAAGTTATATCCTCACATGTCTATTATGAGAAGTGTGTTCAAGAAACCTAAATACAAAAAAAATGCAGGTAGGTTCCAACTAGATAGAAGTTTTTCTACAGCATATAACGTTGAAATTATCAAATGACAACATATAATGGCACAAACAAAAATTAACAACCACTTTTATGTCTAGAGAAATAAGTATATATCTCATTCTCAATTAGTAGCACTAACTAATGGATAGCCCGAGTCTCTATCAACTTTGTGGAAAAGGTTGGAGAGGGTGACTTTATCTTTTAGTTACTTTTATGACCCATTAAAGAGAATCTTAATTAAGGTCCCATTTCAAATTTTCACTGGAAGTTGCATGGAAAAGTTAGCTTGTGTACACCATCTACATGTTATAAATATAAATACAATTATTTTGTAGTATATATATATATATATATATATATATATCTTTAGCTGTGATTGTGTGTTCGCTTGATTAAGGACCAAGAGTTATATATTTGCAAACAAAAACAAAAACCATGCGACTTGGAGATTTCTTATAGTTCATTTTTGTTAAAAAAAAAAAATATTATGGTTCTTGATATGATGTTTTGACTAAGAACTTGGACGAGAGGGTGAGTTAATGTATATAACAAAAATTAAGATATATAATAAATATATACATACTCATCACTAATTCTTGAGAAATATTTCACTGACTACTATGAATAAAACTGCATAACATGTGATATGTAGATCTATAATTAATCGTAATGTCAATGAAATTAGGGTAGTAAAAAAAAATTGAAACCACATAAAGCCAATTCATATCCTCATCACCCTTAATCATTGGTCTACCTATACGCTATTTTTAGCAAGCAGCATACTATCTGATCATATAATGGTATACGTATAACTTTGGTATTAGAAACAAAAAAACAAAATGTTTCTTTTGTCTTGTAATAATTGTCTATAGTGATTGACCTAATGTATTGGATTGGTCAAAATGAGAGTAAAAACAATAACACCATTATCATTCACTAAGTGACATATGTTTACTTTAACTCTAATCGTATCTTATTTATTTGATATATATCGCTAAATTTTAATACCATGAATCTAATCCTTTGTCTTCTTTGAAATGTCGTTTATCGATCGCACCCTCTTCCATGTATATATACTTTATAGTACTCATCAATATATCATATATGAACTTAGCGCATGTATTACATGTCTACACAATATACATACTCGCATATATAACATGTCTACAATATACAGAATTATACCAACCTTTAACTTTGGACACAATTTTGGATCTAGTCAAAATCTTTAAAACAAGTTTTCACTAGCTAAAAGTTAATGACCAGTATAGGCGTATACATTTACATATGGTCTGTATGTCTGTATTTTGTATGGTGCTTTCATATTTTATTTAAATATATTATTGGCACTCTATTATTGTTTATTATCTCCCAACTAACGAGGCAAAATCACAAAGGGATGTCTGCATTTTAACCTAATAATGCATCTGCAAAAAAGTATATATTCTTCTACTTTCTTATGAACCAAAAGAGCATGTGGTATATCTGTAATGTACCCTCTAGATCCACATCTGTCTTTGCAATTTCATGCTATTTCTACATATTTTAATTTATTTAACAAATTAAACTATAAATATACAAACACAAGTTAAAGTATTTTTGATGTAATAAACATCTGAAATTTTCAGATTCAACTATCATAGTGTGTCTACATATTCAGTTCAAAATCGATTTTTTTCCCTCAAGGATGTTAATCGATAGGAACATGTACATCGATATGTAAAAATATAAATGTTTATACATTTTTAATATTTGTATGTCTAGGAATCTTTATTTTATATATCAAAGCAAAGAGAGCAATACTATATATTACAAAGTCTCGAAAATTGTAGGAGAATATTCTGGTGCCACCATAGTTCAAGAAGAAAAATCCAAAATTTTATAGTAAAAAAAGGTTCACCAGTTTTAACATCAAAAAGGACACTCTTAAAAACATCATTACATTATGATTAAAGTTTAAATAATACTCAAAAGAATTGTTAATTAAGTCAGCCCACAAGTCGACTTCCAAAACCTTACCTGCCTTTTGTCAGTTCTATGTCTCATGCACCTTTTATTCTCTTTAATTAAACCATGATAATTAACGTCTTATCTTAGGGCAAAAACATGTATTTTGATTTAGTTCATTCTTATTTGTTCGAGGGTCGATTTTTTTAAAAATTAACTTTTATGCACCAGTTGAATTTGACCTCCTAACGAGGTAAAGACCTCAAAATATCTGATAGCTATAGCTTATTGACTAATGTATTATATGCGTTCGTTTTTATCATGAAATGCACAAAATAATAGTATATCGACACGAAAAAGATAGCTATAGCTTATGTAAAATAGCTGCTTAATGTGATTAGCTAGGTCGTCGAATAACATTACTGCAATAGTTTTTTTTTTTTTTTGAACTTCAGGTAAAGTTATTGAGCTGATTGATTTGTTTACTTAACTAATTTGTGAAACATAAAAACACAGTTTTATTTGTAGATTGGCTAGGTTTTATCAACAACTGCTTTCATGTATAAAGAGAATTTAAGTCAGAGATCTAGAGCTTATAAGTTAACAAAAGAAACAGAATATAAAAAGGTTTAGGAAATGGTATAACTGTCAAAATGTAATGATAATGTCAGGTAAGTTCAGCTTGATGATATATAGTAGTCGCATGAGATATCGATGGAAAATATTTTTGCAAAGATAGAATTCCAAACCAATGTATATATTCTTATAATGTTATGAATAATAAATAAATATACTTTAAATTTTTCATAGAAATTTATATATATATATATATATATACAAATATCACTTTTGGGGGTTAAAATATACAGATCACACAGATCACTTTTTTCCAAAAGAAAAATACGGTTTGTTACTTAATATCACTTTCATAAAGAAAAAGAGGGAGGGAAAAGAGAATGGCGAAGACAAAAATATTATAGAAAAAGCATGAAAAAATATACTCTTCTTATCTACCATTGAATAAAGTCACCAAAGTTTCTTCTCAAATTTACAAAAACAAAAAAAAACTCAAAAACAAAAAAAATTATTTGAACATTTTCTTAAAACATATTAAATGTTACGTAAGTAAAAATAATGTAAGTGAAGAGTAATGAAATTTCAAGATTCCATAAGGAAAAATTTGATTTCACTATTCGATAAAAAACATAAAAATGACTTCACGGCCGTCGAACGACTGTTAATGCATGTCTAATTTATCTTAGGTCTTTTGTCGTACGTTGTTGGATTATACCTAAGAGCACGTGCATGGGTACACGTGCATTGCAGGCTTTGTTCGATAAACAAGAGATGTAACCATCACCGTTGGATCTTATATCCTTCACCTATATAGACTTAATGGTTTCGGAATTATAATATATGACTCTCAAACTTCACAAATCACATATGACCAAAATTCTTGAATAGTATCCACTCAAATTACGATTCTCTCTTTTGTAAGCTGAAAAGTCTAAAGTCCAAACAATATTCTTCTGTACAGATTTAACATTTGAGTTCTAATATACCAACCTTAAAACCAACAAAAATAAAGATATTTGATGGGATCGATATATAGTTAACTGTGTTTTCAACTAAACAGAGTTATAACTATTTATTATTAACTAATCAATAAACTTAAACAATATGTCGAACAATGTTTTTTTTTTTAAGTTGAGTTAATTTTTATATTTAGTCGAGAAGGTTAAGATATTTATAAGCTTGAAACTATAACATATCTATTGTTTTTTAGTTCTTTTAACACATGAAAAATATTAACATGTGTATATACTTTTATGATTTTACTTTATTGTGAGTACATATATATATATATATACAGATATTAATTTTAAATATAGTTAACTTGCAGAAGTTATAAGTAAAATAAGATAAAAAATTTTACACTAAGTTAGCAAGGGCATGTATAGGACAAACAAAAAAATGGGGAGAAAAGGGCAACACAAATAACAGGATAATCATTCCAAATAGAAAAGGCAGAAATATTAACTTTCTAAGTGTCATAACGCACTACCACGGAAAATTTCAAATATTTAAATTAGTTTCAGTTGATTACATATATATGGCATCATACAATATCAAATATGAAATTTTATATTTAAAGAGAAAAAAAAAATTATAGCTTTCCAAATTCGAGATGAGCTGTTAAAACGTTTTGTTAAGTAGTTACTAAAAAGTGAAATCGAAAAACCAAACATTAGAATGTGTGTGCATAATATGAAGGAAAAAAAACGAGTACCAAGCAAAGATTTTTGTTCATATATTTTAATAACTGGTAGTGAAAACTGCATACACAGAGCCTAGCTATAATATATTCGAGGCATGGTCATTTTTTCCCCCGATATTTGCATTTTTATTTTTATTTTTATTTTTCCCCTATCACTTTCAGCTTATGATTTTCCACCGCCATCCACTTAGCCCTCATAAAATAATCTGATAACGAAAAAAGAAAATCACAATCAACCTTTTATTTTAATCGAAATGGCTGCAACAGTTTAACAGATCAAGGTGATCATATACCCCCACACATATATATGAGCTGATATATGTAGAGTGGTATAGGTTAAGACAAAAGCCAGATATATAAGTGGAGAACCCAATATATCTTTGTCTTTGTTATTTTTCCTTCTCATTCATAGTTAAGACTTGCAGATTCTTAGAATTTCTAATCTTTCTCTTATATTACCCTTTTGTCTCCTCCTTCTCTCTCTCTCTCTCTCTCTCAACAATATACAAAAACCTACTTTTAATTTCTCTTACAAGAAGTTAAGAACCCAGAAGAAGACATGACAGGTGACGTTCTCCAGACAGTCTCCAGCGGATCAGGATTTGCTCAGAACTCATCAACTCTGGATCATGATGAATCTCTCATCAATCCTCCTCTTGTTAAGAAGAAGAGAAATCTCCCTGGACATCCTGGTAATTATTTATATTATTTCAAAAAGCTTTTAATCATCACCTTTAAAGAAACCCTATAATCTTTTTTCAACTTTTTTTTCCTATTAATTAGTTTACTTGGGTTATTATGTTCTGGATCTTGACCTATATATCAAAACTATTGTTTGGCTGCATGAGTTATATATTTGATCACTGGATGTCTGGATGCTTAATAGTTTATACTGTATAAGAAGATGCGATTTTTGTAAATTTAAACTTTCTGTGATCAATATATATAGTTGTTCTCTTAGAATTTATAAAAAAATTATTGGTTTCCATGAGAATATAGATTTACAAGCCCTTTATAATTTTTCTCATTATTATTACCCTACAAAAAAAAGAAGAAGAAGAATATTACAAATTTGACTAACATGCATGATCCGATCCAAACTATATACTTTGTATATCCGATTTGACCTAACGAAACCAAAAATCTTAATGATCTACATAGATCCGGAAGCTGAAGTCATAGCTTTATCTCCCAAGACCTTGATGGCTACGAATCGGTTCCTTTGCGAGGTATGTGGTAAAGGTTTCCAAAGAGACCAAAACTTACAGCTTCATCGCCGAGGACACAATCTTCCATGGAAGCTAAAGCAGAGGACAACCAAAGAAGTGAGGAAACGTGTCTACGTTTGTCCGGAGAAGACTTGTGTCCACCATCACTCCTCCAGAGCTCTGGGCGATCTCACCGGAATCAAAAAGCATTTCTGTAGGAAACACGGCGAGAAGAAGTGGAAGTGCGAGAAATGTGCCAAGAGATACGCTGTTCATTCGGATTATAAAGCTCATTCTAAGACTTGTGGTACTAGAGAGTACCGTTGCGACTGTGGCACCATTTTCTCCAGGTATGTATATACATACATCTATCTATATACATAAATATATATATATAGATATATCTATGTTGTCGTTTGTATTGATCATGTTCGAAAGCTATTCTAGAGTAGCTTTTTAATAGTGTCTACATCTTCTTCTTTTTTTTGTTTGTCAATAATATACATATAGTTTTTGATTATGTTTTGTCATTTTCTATGTATTTAGTTTGTCTTCTTGAAGTAGGGTAAAGTTTCTTGCCTGGGAAATGTTTTTGTTATAGTGTGATGATTGTGGCAAAAAGGGTACATATTTATAATAACCATGATGAATATATAACATAAGCTAGATATTTAAATATGTACATATAAATTAAGAATGTGTATGTCTCCAGGTTCAAAATAGTAACACTATTTTTCGTAAAATTGTCAACGACAAATCAACGGTTTTCTTAAGGATTTTTTTTCTTGGTTTTCTTGTTTCCGCCAATTGTATATGAGCATTATCAGTTAATTTTTTGATATATATATGCGTTGAGATAAATGTTGATTAAGACGTTAATGGTTGTTTTGGGCTGAAACAGGCGAGATAGTTTCATTACACACAGAGCTTTCTGCGATGCCTTAGCGGAAGAAACCGCTAAGATAAACGCAGCGTCTCATCTCAACGGTTTAGCCGCAGCTGGAGCCGCAGGAATCAATCTCAACTATCAATATCTCATGGGAACACTCAACCCACCGCTTCAGCCATTTGTACCACAACCGCAAACAATTCAAAACCACCACCATCATTTCCTGCCGCCACCTCCGTCGTCTTCTTCGTCACTCTCCTTATGGATGGGACAAGACATCGCGCCGCCTCAAACGCAACCGCAAGACTACGACTGGGTTTTTGGAAACGCTAAGGGTGCGTCTGCGTGCATGAATAATAATAATAATAATCACCATGATGAGCTCATTACGCGAACCGCAAACGCAAGCTCGACCACTACTACTACTCTCTCTGTCCCTTCTTTGTTCAGCAGCGACCAAACACAAAACGCAAACGCAAACGCGAATATGTCCGCTACGGCATTATTACAGAAAGCGGCTGAAATTGGCGCCAATTCGACGACGACGGCTGCCGCAGCTACCAACGACCCGTCGGCGTTTCTACAGAATTTCCCGCTAAAATCCTCCGATCAAACCACTACTTATGACGGCAGCGAAAAGTTCTTTGCTTTGTTCGGATCGAACAACAACATTGGACTGAGTCAAAATCATGATCAGGAGATTGAGAACGCTAGAAATGACGTTACGGTTGCGTCTGCGATGAATGAATTACAGAATTACCCATGGAAGCGTAGAAGAGTTGATGGTGGAGGAGAAGGAGGTGAAGGAGGACAAACTCGGGATTTTCTTGGGGTCGGTGTACAAACGTTGTGCCATCCATCGTCTATCAATGGATGGATTTGAAACGATTTAAAAAGTTTCGGGGGAAATGGATAAATAATGAAAAAGGACAAGGAATCTTTTGTAATTTCCACCATTTTCTAAGAACACATATGGTAATGGAAGTTGTTTTCATTTAGTAATTCAACGTTATCAAGTTTATGAACATGTGATTACATATTTATATAAACAATGAATATGTATATACTCGTCGTATGCTTCCAAGAAATGGTCTTTGGGACATAGGAAACAAGACATTTAAAAACTTTTGAATTCGCGATTGGTATTAAACCAATTCAGATTTATAATAAAATCATACATATAATTAGCTAAATCTCTCTCCAATAAAGCTATCCACATCACCAATTTTTAAATAGGTTTTCAAAATTAAATTTTGATAGGCTTTTATATATTTTGTATATATAGATTTTACAAACAACAAAAAACTATAAATAATCTATTTTTTTATCTTTTATGAGGTTTAATATACATATTTTTTTAGATATTTGTACATACCACAAAAAACTGCAAATTATCCATAAATACAAAAATTAGAATGCTATTTCCAATAAGAATTTAAAATAGTATGTGATATGGTGAATTTATTTTGTTAAAATCGATAAAAATGATATTAAAAAATCAAATAAATAAAAATATTTCGTAAGAAGATATAGATACATATGACAATATATAAGTATAAAACACGTTGTTCTAATATTAACACATCACAGTTTATATTTTTGAAAAGTATAATAGGTTTACATATTTTAGGTTAATAAAAAAAATAAGCAACGTTTACAATTAAAAATGGAGCAAAACAATTATTAAAAAGAGAAACATAATAGTAATAGAAATATATAATTTTGAATAGAAAAAAAAAGAATGAATGTGATTGATAGTAAATTTATGTTGTTGATATCACTAAAAATGAGCAACATAAAGAAAAACCAATTGAATAAAGCTATTCAGTGAAAAAATCTACATATTTTAGGATAATAAAAAACTAAAACAATATTTAAAATTAAAATAGAGCAAAACAAATATTAAAAAAGGTAAATATAATAATAATATATAGTAAAAAATTTGGAGTAGCAATTTTTTTGACATTCATAATAGGTCTACATATTTTAGAATAATAAAAACTAAAACAACATTTAAAATTAAAAAAGAGCAAAACAAAGCAAATTCCTTTTAAGATATAAATTTTGAATAATATTTTGAATAAAAAAGAAAAAAAATGAATGAGTTTTGGTGGTAAATTCATTTTGTTGATCTTGCTAAAATAAGTTAAAGAATAAAAAGAAAGTTAAATGAATAAACATATTCAGTGGAAAAATATAAATACTCAACAACAGCGTATAACAAAAAAAATCTTATCAATTAACACATAACAAATTTTATTAGAAAAATAACTTCACAATAATCAGATACATTTAGGATAATGCATAAATAAAATTAATATTTTCAATTTAAATAAAAAGAATAGTAATATAAATTTATAAAATTTTAAAATTTAAAATCAAATTTACAAATAACACTGTGCAATGTGTATTTCGATCTCTAGTATTTATAAGAAAACAACAGAATGGTCTATTAAGATGTAACTTACTTTATTTTTCTATCTAAAATTATTTCTACTGTAATAGTTCAACTTTACCTAATATTGTTAACCTTTACAAAGTTTTGTTATTCTAAATTCCTCTATTAAAGTTCAAATTTTTAATATATTCCACTCATGTTATTTTTTCGCATCATGTGAATGATATTTGACTCATCTCTATTATAATTAACTTCATTTCGTCACTGTTTCACTTAGTTCTGAACAATCAATTAAGGTTTATGCAAGTGAGCCATACTGTATATATACTCTTAATCGTTTATCACCGAATGATTGAATTATCTAAAAAGAAATATTACGATCTTAATATAATTACACCAAAAAAAACATAAAGGTATTAAGTTGTACCATCGGTGGAAGAGTGATTCACATATATATTGGGTCAAGGAATAAAGGAATTCAAGGAAATAATTTGGTTTTGTAAGCATATTCGGTGTAGAAGATAAAGTGAAGATCCATGCATATTCTCCATTAAAGAGTAGAAAGGTCTTAAATTTTCTTCTTGTATGCAAGGATATACAAAAAATCAAAAAGCATAGATAGAGTGGAGAAGTGGTGCGGACAATGAAAGGTGGAGACTTTTGGAGCTCAATTATTTAATTCCTAACCCTAACTCAAATGCAAAAAAAAAGAAAATTATACTTTTTAGTGGAGGAAAAGATATAGAAAAAGAGAAAAAGCTTGATATTCCAGCTTAGGCTTTTTCCACCTTTTATCTCCCCTTTTGCTCTCGAGAAAATAAGATTCAGTCATACATGTTATAGTTATATTAAGACATATAAGAAGAAAAAAATCCCTTAAGTTTTCTCCAATATTTGATCATGAATATGAAACTTTCTCCATAACATCATTTGTAGTATTAGTATAACAAATATATAGGAAAGGTCTACATATTGACTCTCTGCTACACTAATTTCTCCTGTGTATATGCATCATTTCGGAGAAAGGTGTAATATATGCATGACATAATTCGGAAAAGGAAAATAATGAAGACTTCTGATTGTTGAAAAAACAAACAAAACATCTCTGATTTGACCCAATAAAAGAAACATGTAGGGGCAGATGAATTCATTTTCCAGTTTTCGTTGCCGTCAAATATTTCATTTTCCATTCAAGACAAAGTATTGGCACCAACCACCAAACTTTAGCTTTTGCTAGTGACATCCTTTTTTTTATCCTACTTATCATGTTTCACACTCTTAGATCATTAACAATGGTTTTTTTTTAACAGCCACTAACAATGGTTATGTCTAGCTACAAATATATTTAACTCGAATGATATAAATTCTATGTTCTCTGTTAGTGTTATTTTAATGACTAATTAATTTTAGGTGTGTGTGTGTATATAATGTATATATATGCATTATATAACTAGTGGAAAAATGTGACGAACAGTTTTCTTTTAACTAGTAATATGCATGAGTAGCATTTTACCCCCCCCCCCCCCCCCCCCCCCCCCAAAAGAAAGTATATGCATGTGTACCTTGGCAATCTCAAACTAAATTAATTAAAAGTAATCTTGTGATATGTAACTATTTCTTTTTTCTTTTTTTCTTTTTAACTAAACAGCATGCACTATATTCGAATCTGATGGTAATACAGAAACTAATACAAACACAAATTAAGATTATTATACACCAAAATTACTAGGCTACGTGATCAATTGATAGTAACAAGAGAATAAAAATAGACAAAACCACAACCAAAAAACCCAAAAACTGTGGTTACATAAAGACACTTCAAGCCCATAATAAAGCCCAATTGTGAATAAAAAAGCCCTAATTTGTAGAAGATACGAAATTACACAAAAGGAGTCGCGCAGAGAGAGCTTGAGGAAGGAATTTCTCATAGAAATGAAATTCACAGACTCTCCGGTGATCGATCTGACCGTGAACGGCACACGACTCTCAATCCAACAAGACAATGGCTCGATGCACGTCGGAACCTCCGTCTGGCCTTGCTCTCTGATTCTCTCCAAGTTCGCCGAGCGATGGTCCACGGTGGACTCATCATCATCGTCCCCGAATCCATACGCCGAACTCCTCGATTTCCGCCGCCGTCGCGCCGTCGAGCTAGGAACCGGATGCGGAGTCGCCGGTATGGCTTTTCACCTACTAGGTCTAACGGAGATCGTGCTCACCGACATCGCTCCGGTCATGCCGGCGCTCAAACACAACCTGAAACGGAACAAGGCGGCGCTTGGTAAATCCCTAAAAACCTCGATCGTTTACTGGAACAATCGGGATCAGATCTCGGCGCTGAATCCGCCTTTCGACCTGGTAATCGCGGCGGATGTTGTGTACATCGAGGAGTCGGTAGGGCAGCTAGTGACGGCGATGGAGTCGCTGATGGCGGAAGACGGCGCGGTGCTGCTCGGTTACCAGATTAGGTCGCCGGAAGCGGATAAACTCTTCTGGGAACTATGCGACGCCGTTTTTAAGATCCAGAAAGTTCCGCATGAGCATCTCCATCCTGAATACGCATACGAAGAGACTGATGTGTACATCTTCAGGAAGAAGGCGAAGAAGGCGAAGAAGCTTCAGACTGAATCAGAATGAAAACCAATTTTCATTTTTTTTTTTTTTACCCATTTTAAATGTAACGTTTCTTGCTATATCGATTTCGAATTAGCTCAAATATATATATAGAACAATATGGTTCAGTTTGCTTCACGTAAATATTTAAAGATTCAGGTATTAACTAATTAATCCGAAAAAGGGCATTTAAATGTCCAATTTTTAAATTTTGGTCAATTTAAGCACAATCTTTTGTCTGGACTATTTAAAAACATTCTTTGCGTTGACATACGAATAAAATGTTAAAGTTTCGTTGATTACGCCAATGTAGACACGTCGTTAACTAGCTTAACAGCCCGATTAAACCCCATTACTATGCCGTCTAATTTGTCTGTTATATCAAAACGACGTCGTTCGTTCCTTCTGAGAAATTGATTAAATCCCCAAATCGATCGATAACTTCTACTTCTTCAATCCCTAAATCAAAAATTGGTTCCCCAAATTAACTCTCAAAATCGCGTGAAAGCTTTATCTATTGAACAATTCCTCTTGATTTTTCTTCTATTTTCTCAATCATCGATGGCTTCTTCTTCTAACCAATCATCCGGCGTCGAAGATCGTGGCCTCCCGTCAAAGTGTGTGTGTGGTTTAGGTGTAATGATGTTGACATCGAAGACGCAAGAGAATCCGTGAAGACCTTTCTACTGCTGTATAAGGCAAAGAGACCAAAGCATGCCTTCAAAAAAAAGAGATGTAAGTAGCTTATGTTGTTGCTTTTGTTGGGTTTGATCAGTTCTTTTCTTGTGTTTAGACCGTAAATCTGTGTCAGTATGAATTTTATTTTTTCTTTGCAACAGGGGCATTTGTTTAAATGGGTCGAGGAGGCTGTACTAGAAGAGCTTGAAGATGGTTTACCAAGAATAAGAAGAATTGAAAGTGAAATTAGCAATGCAAAAACTGAGATTGAAGAGTTGAAGCTTTCGATTGATGGATTGAAGGAAGATGCAATGTGGAGCAAAATGGAAATCAGGAAGTGGAGAGTGATGAACATAGTTTGTTTTGCTTGTCTTTTCATCATGACCTTTGTCATTGTTTACTTGGTGATTGGCAAAAGAAATGAGACCAAATTCGATGTTAGTTATTAGTATGAGAAGAATGGTTTGTCTTAGTGTTAGTTAGTAGTTTATGTCATTGTAGTCTCTTAGTGTTGTTCGAATTTGGCTTTATCATACTTTGTTTTGGGATTGAAGCTTAATGTTTGTCATCAATTGTGTCTCTGGCTATGATCGGATTGGTAATGAAATGAAATGCATTTTGCTTTAATTGAATCATGAGTTCATTATTCAATCTCACTATAACAGGTTTTGTGATTGCAATGAAACAAAGAAATATGATGGTGAAAGAAAAAATTGAACATGTTCATAAACACAATAACCCAAAAACAAACAACAGAAACATCATGTTCGCAAACAACAGAAGTACCTGATCTCATAACAACAAAATAAAACAACAGAAACCATTCCGATCTCATAAAAAAACAACACCATGTTCACAAACAGAAACCATTATCCCTTAAAAACACCAGAAAAGTCTACAATACATCAAACCATTATCCCATTTGAAACTTAGTTTGAACATCCAAACCATGATGCCCAGCCTTGAGCCTGAGAACCTTCGGACTGCGATCCATGAGCTTGATTAGCTTGTGATCCTTGAGCTGGAGTTGCTTGTGATCCTTGAGCTGGAGTTGCTTGTGATCCTTGAGCTGGAGTTGCTTGCGATCCATGAGCTCGATTAGCTTGCGATCCTTGAGCTTGATTAGCTTGCGATCCATTAGGTTGCGTTCCATGAGCTCGATTAGCTTGTGATCCATGAGGTGCATTTGTCTGTGACCCTTGAGGGTCTGAACTACTTCTGGTTGTGAACCAAGTGGAACTCCTCCGAATGAAACTCTTTGTTGTGTTGGAATTCCTTGTTGTGGTGGCACTCCTTCCTAGTTCAGATAAAAAATGTATGCATTTATATTGTCAAAATGTTTCTTTAATGTATGCAATCGAGATGAAGAAAGAAACAAACCTGATACTTTCTAGGTTGACCTCTTGGTCTTTTTGGAGGAGGTTGAATAGTCGGATTAGAACAAGCTTGCTTGTTGTGTCCATCTTCCAAACAATTGGAGCATGTCATGACTCTCCTTTGTCGTGATAATTTTGTTATGCTTGAAGAAGTAGCAGATTCATATCTAGATTTTCTCCTGGCATAATTGTTTGGCCTTCCAGGATTGCCAAATCGCCATGGTGGTGGCAGAACAGACAATCTATTCAATCTAGGCCACAATTTCATTCCTTGGACAGGCCTTATACCATTTCTATAAGTTTCCTGCCACATACTTTGTGTATAGTAGACATTGACATAATCTTCAACCGCTTGTTTCTTACTGATGATTACTCTTGCAGCATGAGCACATGGTATACCAACCATTTGCCATTTTCTGCAACTACACGTGAAGTTCTTCATATCTACGGTATAACGGACCCCATGTAATTCAACCTCATGCAAATCATGTCTAGCCGTGTGTTTGATGCAATGCTGCAACCCAACTATCATCTTCTCTACCTCAATATGAGCTCTCTTTGTGAATTTTGACTTCAATATTCCCGCAACAATGAATCTTTTAGCATTACGAACCATAGCTTGTCGCCTAATATCCTCTAATAAGTCTAATAAAGGCTTTTTTCTTGCTTGCCGAATTGTTCTATTGAAAGATTCACTCAAGTTGTTTAAAATATCATTGCAACAAGAACCTATCCATGACTGCGGATTAGTTAGGTGTAGAGAAGCTAAAGCCTGAGGATTGTACCTTCCCAATGCTTTCATATTTTCTGTAAATTCGCCTATGGTGTAGCTGCATGCTATCTTCCAAAACAGCCGTTCTAGTTCAACATCATGGCTCTCTTTCTTCCAATTTTTCATAATGTGTCTAGCACATTGTCTATGTTCAGCTGCAGGAAGAAGGTTACACACAGCTTTCACAAGTCTCTACAAAATGATACATAAACAGTTAGATATCCCGATTGCAAAATAATACATTAAAACCTTAAAACAATACATAAAACGTTGGGGATGATGATACTAACCGCTTGTTTATCTGATATGACTGCAACATTTTTTCCATCACCAAGACCCAAGCTTCCTGATAGCTGTCTAACAAACTAGTCTCAATTATCATCATTCTCTACTTCGACTACAGTCCAAGCAATAGGAACTATCCTATTATCTCCATCTCTTCCAACCGCAGCTAATAAATGTCCCTTTATGTCCCATTTCAGAAATGCACCATCTAAACCTATGATAGGTCTATAGTTTGCTTTCCGGGACTCGCGTTGTGCATTGAAACAAACATAACAACGTAAAAATCTCTGCTTGCTTCCAACTGTTGCCCCTGGAATAGTCTCGATCTCAAATTTTGTGTGTGGATTAAACTGGAAAACCTCTTCTTGATAATCCCAAATTCGTGAAAAATGGGCTTCATGGCTAGCTTTCTTCTCTCTCATCAGCTTCGACTTTGCCTTTGCACATTGAGCATCCGTTACTTCCAAATTATATTCTCTCTTTATCTCAGCAGCCATCTCATACTTTTTCATCTTCGGATTAACTCTCAACCTTTCTGCAAATAGCCACGCAATTGTTGAACGTTTCAACATCTTCGAGTGCCCTGATCTTACACATACATGCTCATTGACAAACACTTTTATTTGCAGCTTATGTTTCCTCTTCTCGTAAGAGCAATAAACTCTCCAAGGACACTCTACTTCCTTATCAGAGCACTTCGCACCAAGCTTTAGTGACTGTGATCGATATAGCTTGATGTCATATCTTGTTTTCAGAGAATACCTTACAAGCGCAAGCTTGAAATCTTCTGCAGTATTGAACGTTTTTCCCAGAGCTAGGATTACTTCAGAGTCTTCAGCTTCTCTCTCTCGGCGCCTATCTTTTTCTTTCTCTCCATTGTCATCATCTTCAGAGTCCGATGACAAAGGATCGGAAATCTTCTCGTCATCCCAAACTTCATCTCCACTATCTGCATCAGTCGCATCATCATCACTCCCAGCTTCTCCAAAGTGTAATAATAAGTCTTCACATCCCTCTTCTTCAACTCCTCCTACAGTGTTCGTATTGGTCGCATCTTCTTCATCATCACCTCCGTCGCTTATATTATCGCAATCATCATCACCAAAAACCGCACAATCATCTTCTTCTGCAATTACAACTTGGAGTTGAGCTTCATCATCGTTTGTTGCTTTGGGTTGAGGTTCTTTCGATTGCGGCAGTTGAGCTTCATCATCGTTTGTTGCTTCGGGTTGAGGTTCTTTCGATTTCGGCTTCGAAACCTTCTTCTTCCATTTTCCTCTCGACATTTCAATTCAGCTAACTCAAAGACAAGAAACTATCGAGCTGATTTCGGATTTGGATTGAGACTGTGAAATTTAGGGTTTTAGCTCGATTTGGGGATTTTGATTTTGGAGATTTTGATTTTGGGGATTTAATCAAACTTTTAACGACGTCGTTTTGGTATAACAGACAAATTAGACAGCATAGTAACAAGGTTTAATCAGGCTGTTAAGCTAGTTAACGACGTGCTTAAATTGGCGTAGTTAACGAAACTTTGGCATTTTATTCATACGTCAATGTAAAAAATGTTTTTAAATAGTTCAGACAAAAGGTTGTGCCTAAATTAGCCGAAATTTAAAAATTGGGCATTTAAATGCTTTTTTTCCCATACAAAATAAGCCAACAAAAATTTCATCGCTTAGTTTTTATCTTTGAGAAGCGTTTTAATTATTCCACCAAAACAAAACGACTGCAAAGATATGGGCTTATAAATGGGCTCATTTAGATAACGGGCTTTATAAAACTGAATTGATGAGCGGTTGGATTTATTACATAAAAAATTGGCAAAGTCGGGTCCAAAGACCAAACAGAAGCGACAAAATTATAGGTCCAATAGATTTTTTTTTTTTAATTATTTAAACCAAAATTAAAATTGATATTCAACGAGAGAAACAATTCAAAGAGAGAGAAACCGGAATCCTGAATCAAACTCCCTCGATTTTCCCGAAAACCCACCAAAGAAAATAAAAAGAAGAAAAAAGAAAAGAAGCATCTGACAATTCACCAAACACTCTCAAAAACTTTTAATTTAATTTTTATTAGACCCCTTTTCTCTTCTTCTCTCGATTTTATTAAACATCCGCAATTCACCTTTTAATGAATTTTTTGTTTTCTTTAAAATTACGGAAGAAAAAGAAAATTAAAAGAAAATCAAAAGAGAAATTTTGTGTGTGTGTGTGTGATTATGATTGAAACGAATAGTCAGACAAAGCACTGTTGGTGTTGTTCGTTCGCTTGCTGTTCTTCTTCGTGATTTCTTATTCTTTTTAATATATAAATCTTATTTTTTAAAAGAAACTCATCTCGGTTTTTATTAATGATCTTGTCGATATTGCTCCCGTTGTTAATAATGTTTAATGTTTTTGATTTTATTTGTGAAATTCCCAATCACATTCGTAGTAGAGAGAGAAAGTTTTTCCTTTTGGTTTTTTGGTGGATTTTTATTCTTCTTTACTTACATTTCTCTTTTTCGTCAAACCAAAAATCCAAACGGTGTTCGTGATGCTGTTTCTTCCTCTCTTCACACAAAACCCAGAACAATCATTCCTTTGAATCTCTCCTCTTTCCCCAACGAACTTCCCTCAAATTCACAAGCTTTTTGATCTATCTTGTTTATTGAAGTAAAAGTAAGATTTTTTTTTTAATTTCCCCCAAATCAATTCTGGGTTTTCTTTTTTGTTCTGTGATTCTAGGGTTTCGAATTTTCCAACTTCTGATTTGGGGATTTTTGTTTTGTAGGAAAAATGGAAGGTGGGTCTGAAGCAGAGAAGAACAAAACACCTGAAGGTCCTGCTGAAAGCAAGTCAAAACGGAAAATGAAAACAGCTGCTCAACTTGAAGTTCTTGAAAACACCTACTCAGGTTTGTGTCTGTTTCATCTTACTCCATTGTCGTTGATTATCTTTTGTTTTCAATCAGTTGTTTAAACCTCACTATGATGTTTTGCTTTCAGCTGAACCTTATCCTTCGGAAGCTATAAGAGCGGATCTCTCAGTAAAACTGAATCTTTCCGACAGGCAGTTACAGATGTGGTTCTGTCACCGGCGGCTTAAAGACCGGAAATCCTCAACTCCGAGCAAACGCCAGCGCAAAGAGCCGACACCGAGGGCGGTCGAATCCTCGAGAACACCCGTCAATGCCGGTGATTTGGCGGCGGGAAATGAGCATAGCTCGTTTGGTCACGAGCTTGATTCGAGAAGAACCCCTCGCGGAGGCGGTGGTGGTGTGACGGTGGTTAGACGGTTCAATGAACCGTCTCCGGTCGAGGTTAGAGCCATCGGCTATGTGGAAGCTCAATTAGGAGAGCGTCTGAGAGATAACGGACCGATTCTTGGAATGGAGTTTGATCCTTTGCCTCCTGGTGCATTTGGTATGCCTATAGGTATACTACATTCTTCTTCTCATTATAAAGCTGCTCCTTAGAATCCATAGAAATGCTGTTGAATTAGCTAAAAATGAAATCTTTTTGGTTGTGGAGCAGAGATGCCAAGCCATAGGAAGGCGACTAGGCAAGCTTTTGAGACGAATCTATATGCCCGGTCCGATGTAAAGACCATTAAAGTTAGTTTTCTCTTAGTCTCTTGTCTCATCTCATGATATGTTGCTGCTTAAGTCTGATTGGTTTCGTTCTCAAGAGATTTATTTCATTTCCCATTTTTAGGATTCTGTGAGGACGATTCGTGAATATCAGTTCCTTCCTGAGCAGCCATCTTCAAGGACTGATCATTCAGAGAGAGCTTCACCGTCGTCGCATCATTTCGGAGTTCCACTTGATGCTTCGGTTCTTAGGGGTTCATCAGTCTCTGCAGTACATCGAGATGACTATAAGATTTCGCCTCAGATACCGAATTTGAATCTTTCCACTCATCAGGGGAAGACAGGGCACGTGTTCTCGCCTAGTTTGGGAGAATATGACTCACCGTATCAGAAAAGCTACATGGATACTGCTCCACTAAACGATCATCATCCCATTCATGAGGATCCCTTTGTGAAATCTGAGAGAGAAGTTGGCAATGATGAAGATGATGAAGATGGTGCTCTGGAAATGGAGAGAAGACGCAAGGTATGGTAAAGGTTTAAGTTTGTGTTCTGCATTGTTTTCTAACTGTTAAGTACTGTCTCATCCATTTTTTGGTATATGTACTCATTGTAGAGTGAAGAAGCAAGAATAGCTCGGGAAGCCGAGGCTCAGGAGAAGAGGATGAGAAAAGAGCTTGAGAAACTAGATATGATGAGGCGAAAGGTCTTGTTTTGATTTAAGCTAAGCACACACTTCATTTTTTGCTGTGTTTTTGTTCTCAGTGTGTCATTTGATTATGTAGAGAGAGGAGCAAGTGAGGAAAGAAATGGAGAGACAAGACCGTGAAAGACGGAAAGAAGAAGAAAGGCTTTTACGTGAAAGGCAGAGAGAAGAAGAGAGGTACCTCAAAGAGCAGATGCGAGAGTTGCAGCGAAGAGAGAAGTTCTTGAAGAAAGAAACAATCAGGGTAATGTGACACATGTGCTTACCTTTTTAAGGTTTCTTGAGAACTTGGGATGAAATGTTGTTTCCTCATTTGCGCCTCTGAAATGTGATTTTAGGCTGAGAAAATGCGACAAAAGGAAGAGATGCGTAGGGAAAAGGAAGTTGCAAGGCTTAAAGCTGCTAATGAGAGAGCCATTGCTCGTAAGATTGCTAAGGAATCTATGGAGCTTATTGAAGACGAACGCTTAGAACTCATGGAGATCGCTACGTTAACTCAAGGACTGCCTTCGATGCTCGCTCTCGACTTTGAAACTCTACAGAACCTCGATGCATATAGAGGTGAATCAATTAAATAAAATAAAAATTTGTTTTAAATTGTTTTCAACTTTATTATGATAATATCCATCTGATATTATAATATTCTTTCAGAAAAGCAGGCAATATTTCCCCCAACGTCTATAAAATTGAAAAAGCCTTTTGCTGTCAAACCATGGAATGGTTCTGATGAGAATGTTGCAAATCTTCTTATGGTTAGTTTCCCCATCTTATTCATCCTTTCTCATATGTGAATATCATCACTATGTCAGTAACAAATGTTTTTATTTGGTTGAAAACATTTAGGTATGGAGATTCTTAATAACTTTTGCCGATGTTCTTGGCCTTTGGCCATTTACTCTGGATGAGTTTACTCAAGCATTCCATGACCATGTAAGTGGTCCTCTCCTTCTTGAGTCTCTCTGCATTTAGATCCGAAACAGGATTGGTTTTTCTCAGCTTTACCTTGTTGGTCATGTAGGATCCAAGGCTCATGGGAGAGATACACATTGTTCTTCTGAAGACTATAATCAAAGACATTGAAGGTGTTGCAAGAACACTTTCAAACGGTGTTGGAGCAAACCAGAACGCTGCAGCTAATCCCGGAGGTGGTCATCCTCATGTCGTAGAGGGTGTAAGTTATTATTTCGATTTCAATGTAGATGATACCTCTCCTATTCCTCCTAATTTAGTATGATGCATATTTTGGATTTTTAGGCATATGCTTGGGGTTATGATATACGCAGCTGGAGAAGAAACTTGAATGTTTTCACTTGGCCTGAGATCTTGAGGCAACTCGCTGTCTCTGCCGGTTTGGGACCGCAACTGAAGAAACCAGACATTAAAACCATGTCTGTTCATGATGACAACGAGGTGGGGGCAATATCTATGTGTTCTGTTATCTTCGGCTTTTTCTAATGCATCTGCGACTTGTATTTACCTTATCTTCTCTTTCAACTGTAGGCGAACAACTCTGAGAATGTGATTTTCAACTTGAGGGTTGGAGTAGCAGCTGAGAATGCTTTTGCCAAGATGCAAGAAAGAGGTCTCTCTAATCCGAGACGTTCACGACATCGTTTGACTCCAGGCACAGTTAAATTCGCTGCTTTTCATGTTCTGTCTCTTGAGGGTGAGAAAGGTTTGACAATTCTGGAGGTTGCAGAGAAGATTCAGGTAAAGATAGATAGTCTAAAGATTGTTTTGCTCGTAGCAGCTTGTGTTTCATTCTCATCTTCTTCTTTTTTTGCGTATTGATCATAGAAATCAGGCTTGAGGGATCTAACGACGAGCAGGACACCTGAAGCCTCGGTTGCTGCTGCGTTGTCTCGTGATACGAAGCTCTTTGAGAGAGTAGCTCCTTCTACGTACTGTGTGCGTGCTCCCTATAGAAAAGATGCAGGTGATGCAGAAACTATCTTCGCTGAAGCCAGAGAGAGGATACGCGCGTTCAAAAGCGGCGTTACCGATGTAGAAGACGTTGATGACGCTGAGAGAGATGAAGATTCCGAAAGCGATGTCGGAGATGATCCAGAGGTTGATCTGAACGTTAAAAAGGAAGATCCAGATGCTCTGGAGATGGTACCAGCGACGGAGAATGGGACCATGAAAACCGAACCAGGACTGCCTCCTCTTACTCTTTCTCTCCCTGAGGATATGAAAGTTGAGAAAAGAGACGACATGTTAGCGGAACAATCTCTAGAGGAAGATGGAGTAGCAGCAAACGATGAGGAGAGTGGTTGTTTTGATGAGAGCAAACTTGGGGAACAGTGGGTTCAAGGGCTTGTAGAAGGAGATTACTCGAATCTCAGCATCGAGGAACGTTTAAACGCACTTGTTGCTCTCATCGGTATCGCCATTGAAGGAAACACAATCCGAATCGCCCTTGAGGTTATTCATAAGAATAGTCTTTCAAAACCTTGCATTCTCTTCAAGTCTTTAAAAAGTCTTTAACGCACTTGTTGTTTCTGTGTGTTGTGTGCAGGAGCGGTTGGAAGTTGCGAGTGCGTTAAAGAAGCAAATGTGGGGCGAAGTACAACTCGACAAACGATGGAAAGAAGAGTCTTTGCAACGAGCTAACTACCTTTCATACCCAAGGCTTAATACCGCAACCGCTGCATCATCGGGAATTCAAGAAATCCCATCGACGGATGTGACTCCAATCTCCTCACAGGAGCCATTGAGTCTTGCTCCACAGATCGATGTGAACAACGCGGTCGCGGGACCGAGCTTGCAGTTGCAAGAAAGTGTCTCTGTAATTGAGAATTCTCAGTATCAGCAGGGTTACACAGCGGACCGGGAAAGGCTCCGTGCACAGTTAAAAGCTTATGTTGGATATAAAGCAGAGGAGCTATATGTATACAGGTCACTTCCTCTGGGTTTAGATCGGAGACGCAACCGTTATTGGCGGTTTTCGGCATCAGCTTCTAGGAACGATCCAGGGTGTGGTAGGATCTTCGTTGAGCTTCAAGATGGACGATGGAGACTCATTGATTCCGAAGAGGTATATATATACAAAAAGCTTGAAACTTTGAATTGAAAATGTGAAACATTTTGTTCAATAACAATCATTGATATCTCTGTTGTGTCTCATTGATTCGGAAGAGGTATATATACAAAAAAGCTTGAAACTTTGTATTGAAAATGTGAACATTTAGTCAGTAACAATCATTTGATATCTCTCATGGGTTCTGTCTTTTTTCAGGGTTTTGATTATTTAGTGAAGTCACTAGATGTTCGTGGTGTACGAGAATCAAATCTACACTTCATGTTGCTGAAGATAGAAGCTTCTTTCAAGGAAGCAGTGAGGAGGAATGATGAAGCAAATCCTGGCTTGTGTTCTAGCTTGGATTCAGAGATCTCCACGGCGTTTAAGATCGAGCTAGGGGATAGTAACGACGCCGTTGAGAGATGCGGCGTGTTTAATCGGTTCCAGAGTTTTGAGAAGTGGATGTGGGATAATATGCTTCGTCCCGATGCGTTATCCGCGTTTAAGTACGGAGCCAAGATAAGCAGACCGCTTTTTCGCGTTTGTCGGAACTGTGCGGAGTTACACTTTGTTGAGGATATTTGCTGTCCTAGTTGCGGTCAGATGATGCATCATGGTGGTGGTTCTGATGTTGGTGAGTTGTGTTTCGCTGAGCAACTGGCTCAGCTCGGTGATGGTTCGAGAGGAGGAGACGGTTTGTTTATCTTGCGTGGCTCGATCTCGTCTCCTCTAAGAATAAGACTGCTCAAGATTCAATTAGCACTTGTCGAAGTGAGTTTTTCTACACTTTCTCATCATACAACTTAAGAATGCCCACTCTCGTATACAGTCCATAAATTTCGGTTTTCGGATAATTTTGGTTTATGATTTATAAAGATCGAATGGAACCATAAAACCGTCCGGTTTGGTTCCACACGGTTTTGGTTTTTCTGAAAATTCATCTTTAATTTTAATTTGACAGATTATCAAAGAAATTGTGGTTTTAGTCGGTTTGTCCGGATATGGAATATATGAGACCAAATCGGTTTTAATTTCGTTTTGGTATGTTTTCGGTTCAGTTAAACCAGATTGCAAGTTAAAAGTAATGTATGTGCTTACAATATGTGTGATTCTTCTTCAGGCTTCTCTTCCACCTGAAGGACTTCAAGCTTTTTGGACAGAGAATCGAAGAAAGTCTTGGGGTCTTAAGCTGTTGTCTTCAAGTTCTACCGAAGAGATTCTTCAGGTTTTTCATGTGTTCTAAATTAGTGCCATTGATTCAAATTTTTGGATCTTTCTGACAATTCTGATCCCTCGCTTGCTTCAGGTTCTCACAGCGTTAGAGGTCGCACTAAAGAGAGAGTTCCTGTCTCCAAACTTTGAAACAACTTCCGAGCTCTTGGATTTACCGGAGGAAGCTCTCGCCGGCGACTTCGCTTGTTCCGGTAATGTACTTCCATGGCTACCAAAGACAACGGGAGGCGTAGCTTTGAGGCTCTTTGAATTCGACAGCTCGATTGTTTACACACCAGATCAAAACAACGATCCTCAAAAGGAGGACAAAGAAACTGAAGATTTCGTCGTAAGTGTGTATAGTATAAGTAGCGAAATGCTGAATATTTTCTTGATTATTCAAGATTCTGAGAAGTTTTCTTCTTTAGGGTTTGGAGACGAGTTTTCTGAGAAAGGATCAAGAAAACGACGTGATGGAGACGACTCCGGTGCAAGTTGCTGCTTACACGCAAGAAGAGAACTGGGCGGATCCGGGTTTAGGCGGTGGTGTCTCCACCTCGGGGAGAGGCCGACCACCGCGAGGACGCGGCCGGCCTCGCTCCCGTGGCAAGAAACCGTCTCCAGCTTCTGGTAGACCACCACGAGGAGGTGTGGCAAACTCAAACGGCGAAACCATGTTGAGACCGAGAGCTCAGCCGCGCGGTGGTAGAAAGAACGGAAGGCGCAGCGGCGGAACAAAAAGCCGGACGAGACCGACGAAAGGTACGCTTGGGATATCTAATGAAGCAGTAGTAGGAGGAGGAGGAGGAGGAGGACGTCGGGCTAAGGAAGTTGTTGGAACGGCCAAAACCGCTCTCGATTGGATCGAAACGCCTGAATTGCAGCAGGAGGAGGATGACGGTGAAGCTAGCAGCTCGGAGAGGTCGTTTCAGTATAAGGACTACGATGACGTCATGGCTCCGATTGATGATTTTGATGGTGGAGAATCGAGTAAATTAGTAGGTAGGGGTGAATTTAGTTTACATAGTGATGATGAATACGAGGAAGAAGATGAAGATGATGAAGAAGAAGAAGACGTGAGGAACACGAAAATGGATGTGAATGTTGATGATGAAGATTACATAAACGAGGATTCTGATGGTAGAGAGCAGCCGGAGATTAGTATTGTTGCTAATCGGAAAAGGTTTCCGTTTGAAGATCCCGATTTAACATCTTCGTCTTCCTCTGATTATTAGTGACTAATTTGTTTGTTTTTTTTAAAAAAAAATTGTATTATTCAGATGAAAAAAATGCCAAAATTTTTCAGTTAGCATCATCATTAACCCTTTTTTAAGGTGACAAATCAATGTGATAATTTTGTCTCTTCATCGTACATGAGCAAAGCTTCTACGATTTTAATTAGTGTTGTTTGGTCCAGACCGGTCTGGTTCCGGTCAACCCAATTTTATAAGAACCAGTCCAAAATAAAACGTGATTTTGCTGTCTGATTCGCGGTTAATCGCCAAACTCAAAGGTGCAAAATGATATATCCGGTTCGGTCGCAGAGTTAACCAGCACAAACTTAATAATGTACCAACTATAAACCAGGTCAAACTTATACTTTTGGTTTACCAAACATTTGAAAAACTTGTTTTACATACAAACGCTTTCTTTGTGTTTATCTTCGTAATTCTCATTTCAAACTACGTCAAACATGTTTTTAACAATCGAGTTTTTTTTTTTATCAAATGAGTTACAGAAAGGTAAGCTTTATTTTGGTGATATAGAATTATTAATTATAGATAGTTTTATTTATGTATTTATCTAAGTTTTTACTGCATGATTAATCCTTTCAGTGTGAATATAGCCAGCGAGTAACACGCATCAAATTTTCTAATAAATGTAAAAACGTAATAACATTTCGACTGATTAAATAGAAATGTCTTAGATCTACGTGACGACTCCTACTCAAATATGAATCATTAGTCCATTACCGCTTGATTTGGTAATACGATAGTTAAATCAAAAATTTAAAATTTTCTATGATGAATATTCGGGGCACGTAGTACAATATAAAACTGAGCTGTGGGCTGTGGAATCTATGTACCAAAGTTCATATCATATATGATTGCAAAACTTGTGACGTTGTTACATTATTGTTGTAAAAACAAAAGAATACGAAAAGAAAAATCAGACAGTTTGGATCTGTAAAGAGGGAGATAGTGGGAGTGAGAACGACGTCGTGCATATGTCTCTCTATGAACTTACAGACAAAGAAGTGCTCGCCTCTCAATAGAAGAAAGACAAAACCATCTTCTCCACATATCACACCTTCTCTTGATTTTTTTGTTTTTCGTATTAAAAATATCATCTCAATCATATAACGGAAACAAGTAGTTTAATCGTCGAATTTTTTATTAATATAATATTTCATCACCATATATATATATATATATTTTAGAAAAATTCTTACAAGTTTAAGATGGTGTCTTACATGTAATTTTGGGACCTCTTGTAAAACATTGAAAGACAAATTTATAATTTTTTTCTTTTCGTATTTACTGATTTTTTTTTATCAAAGAAAAATATGGTACTTTTGAAGTAAAGCTAAAAAGGTGATACTATTATTTTATTTAGGGTTTGCGAAAAGATATCCAGATGTGCATGTTGACTGAAAAAGACTTTAAAAGAAAGGAATGAGGGAAAAGTAGTTACTCAGTAACTCAAATGTTATACTAGATATGTATATTTAAGTTATGTAATAGATAGTACATGTGGTAATCTACACCCAAAGAAAAAAGATAGTACATGTGGGGAATTACTTGGTACAATACATCTGAAATATTTGTAACTTGTAAAATCGACTTGCCTAGTTAAAGAAAGTAGGAACGGAAATGGACAATTTCAGAATCATTTTATCTGACATGTTTTCATTACGTATTTGATACTATAAAGTTTTTTTCAGAATAAATAATACTGTTAGTGTTTTGCATCTTCCAATGCTTCTTAAAGTGTCCCACCACTATCTCTAATAAGTACATGTAAGAAAGTATTATTTACCCAACATTTTCTGAATTGCAGATAATTTTTGTATTGCAAAAATACCAAAAAGAAGAAAAACAAAAAACTGAGAAAGAAGAATGCGACCATTAAACAAAAAACATACGTGCTGTTAAAAAAATCTACTCTTGATGAATCCATTAACGAATAGGAGACTGCGAAAGATAACGATTCGAAAAAATAAAAATCGAACAAAAGAGACAAAATTCGATAAGACAAATCATGCCCCAACTTTTATCAAAATGTTATTTTTTTTAATCATATGTTTCGACAAAAAAATTGATGTTGGTTTTCCAAAATGTTATAATCTAAGATCGTTAAGTGCTCTTTACTTACTTTTTTATTTAAATGTAATGTTTTAACAAGTCAAGGTCAATGGGTCTGACATTTCTTTTTTTAAAAAAATTGTGGCAGATGTAAATTTCTACCCTTTGCAAAGGTAATCAATATTACAATGATTTTAATCTGCCATTCCAGAATAATGAGGGGAAACGTAACATGATACTATCAAAGGAAGCCAATAATCTGCACTCTTGAAAAATGTTCAAAGACCACTAAGGCTTAGAAGAATACAATATGAGACTACTTCACTCTTGAACAATGTTGTATCTACTTTTTATGTTTCCAGAATAATTTTTTTTTGTTTATACATCAAAATTGTGCTTCTCCTTTCTATGTTGTCTGTTTATTCTCTCACTTTCTTTAGATCACATATATTATAACAGTTACTACCAAAAAAAATTAGCTAGGTTCAAAAAGTTGTAGAAGTAACTTAGAGGTGTTGGGATCAAGTGAGTAAGTACGTACTTGTTACTAAAGATGTCAGATTCAAAATTGATTATGCACTGGTATAAGGAAGCAAATGATGTACAGTAGGAAGCATAAAGCGTGGCATGACGCATAAGCTGATGTGGTTTAGTGGTATTAAACTAGACAGGGTCGGTGATTCACATATTATCTTCAACGATTTAAAGAAATAGTAAATTTAAAGAAGAAAGTAGAACATATATGAGATTGTGTGAAGATATTAGGTCTAGAGTTTAAATGATAGTGTAAATAGGATCTAAAGTTAAGGAGGATCTTTTTTTTTTCTTCTCATCTGAAATAATATATATTATACAAATTGAACGGAATACATGGTAAAATATATAGTGGAATACAGATGAAATACATGGTTGGATACAGTAAAAGAGGAACCACCACCCCTAAAAATTTAAAATAAATACAGTTACAGAAAACGAAATTAATATATCACAGATTCAAATGAAAAACATAGACTAATGCATAATAACAGCAAAACTAAAACACTTAAATCAACTTCACACCAGTTAAGGAGGATCTGATTAACTGTTTACATTTTCTATGTTTTTTTTTTATTACGAAGTTGAGACCGAATATGGGAATGTTCCACAATCACATAGACTGGGAATTGAACGGCTACAGTTTGAAGTATGTCTTGAAATTGCATGCGTAACATTTCTAATGAATAGAGCATAGCATTTGATTTTGATGCTGTTCAAATCGTGTTGTCTTGTCTCGGTTCTCTACATTTAGTCACCATTCACTGCAAAGGGGATAAAGCATATATATGTTTTCTATCAACTATGATTGCACTCTTATATTTCAATTATTATAAGAATCAAAGGGTATAAGAAATTAAAATATCTGTAAGTTTGCCATTGTAGTTATCTTTCGCATGTCCCAAAAACACAAGTACGAAGATTTATAAATTTCTGTGAAATGTCATTTAAGACAATGATATTCAAACTTTATTGATAGAAGTATAACTAAATGCCAAAAATGTTACAATTCATGTCGCTCACCATTATGCATCAATGTAATTTGATTTGACGGGATATTCAACCGCATTTAATTATTTGTACTATACAATTATCATCATTATTACATCAATGTGTCGTAATAAACAAGTATCGTGTTTAGTTTTCTATAATTTTCTATTTTCGGGTCAAAAGCAAATTCTGTACTTCTCAAAAAAGTCTTGATAGACTTGTTTTATTTAGATAAAGCGATCTAAATGACATTACCTGATACAAACTTGGGAGTTGAAGCTGACGTTCCTACCATGAGACAAGCTCCAAGAACAAGATCAGGAACTAAAGACTTAGCCGATGGCTTCAACCAAGCAGTAGAGTCGCTGATCACTTCCCAGCACTTAGAGAATGTCACTACTCAACTAAGCCAACTGAGCATCGCCAAGGAAGCAGCAATGGTGAGGGCATATCTAGATGAGGAGGGCATTCCCAACAAGCAAGAAGACCTTCCCAATGAGCAAGAAGACGGTTTAGACATCATCAACGACCCTTACATCAAAAGCATAGGTTATACACGTGACTGGCCATTGATTCATGCCAACAAAGGAGTTTCCTTATTCACCATCACGACATCTAAGTAAACCGCGTCAATTTGAGCTAAACCAAGGTATGATCCGAATCCTTAATTTCCATATGGTTTAGTTCTACTAATCAAACATTTTCTGTTTTGTTTCTTGGTTTAAGTTTTATTTCATTTAAACTTTAGTATAAGGCATGTTGGCCACATTTTATTTACATTTTCGTTTTAAGGCATTGTTAGCCAAGTAGTTTAACCTAAGGATTTTGTAATCTGTTTCAAGTCCCCTAGAAGGGCAAAGCTGTTCGGATTGTTTATAAAGTCCCCTCACAGCCGTGTATTCTTTCAGATATCAATAAAGTACAAACTTCTTGGCTAATTACCAACTCCTTTGTTCTCTAAAGCTTTGTGTGATTCATTGCTTGAGAGTTCTTGTCTTATCAAGGTTTAGATCCATAAAGCCTTGTGGCGACTTCTTTTCCATCTCTCTATTCATCTCATTCTTTAGATCTTGCAAATAGAATGGCACAACTCTTTGTTTGATCTCCATCTCGATCCACTACCTTCCATAGCCCACCCACTGATTGCAAGCCGAAAGAGTTGAACAACCAGCGGCCCAATCCCATCACCATACACGGTTACTAACTTGTAGGCGTGTGTCATCTGGTATCAGAGCCAGGTTGGCTCCCTGAACAGGTGTACTCTATCCCTTGCATCTTCTTTCTTAGTTTTCGCTTTGGTTCTTAATTTCATTCATCATTCAAAAAAGAAAAAAAAAATCATAAAAAGTTTTCATTATCTACTGTTTTGATTCGATTTTTCAATCTCAAAAAAACCCAAAAGAAGTTTCATTATTGCATCAATTCGTGTTGTTTCATATCTTACAAAAAAATTCATAAAAATTATTCAGCTTTAAAGTTGCATATTCGGTTCAAGAACTCTTTCCATAACGGTCATATTGCGAATTAGTTCTTACTTGTTTTGGATTAATTGCATATTGTCTTTACATTGTGAGGTTACCTTGCTAGTGATTAGGACGGTTCCTAGTATTGAGCATTAGGA